TGGATTCAATCTCAGTCACCACCACTCCCCAAAAAGAACATACTATTTTATTTGTCAAAATACCCCAATAAAGCTGAGGAACAAAAAAGGAGCACGGCCATCAAGCACATTACCATGGCAACATATCTCCTTTTTGACAGCTTTGATAAATAAGGGGAGCTAAATCATGAACTAACCAACCTATAAAACGAGGTAGGCTGAAATGTATACCAGTCCAAAGTATTTTAGAGAACTCAAGGGTGCAACCTTGTTTTTAGACAGTTCTTGATTCTAAATAAAGGATTCTACTTTTAAGAGAGACCTTCACTCTCAAAATCTGAGTTGCCTCAAACAAGAATGTAACATAAAAATCACGATACATAGGAAATGTTCAAAAGAACCTGACGAAGTCTGGAAAAGACTCAAGTTACAAAACAGCTCTCTTCAAATACTTGAAAAGTCATCAGAAGACAAGGTTTAGACACTAATAGTTCACAAAGTACAGTTCCTAAACCAGTTACATCAGCATCACCTGGGAACTTGTTAGCGATGTCTGGGGCCATACTCTGAAATCAGGGTTTTAAAAGAAGCTCTCCCAGTAATTTCACTGTTTGCTAAAGTTTGAGAACCACTAATCAGATTAAATAGTGTGTAGAACTTTGAGCTCATGGAAAGAAGCATTAGGGACAGGGGAAAGGGGTTTAATATAAGAAAAATCTTGTAGTGGTCCAAGCTATCATTTACAAAAGTTACTGAGTTAGTAAGTTAAACACTGGTAAAAAAATATTATACAAAGGGTTCAAACATTTCATGAATGATTAAATCAGAAGATACTAAAGTCTGGTTCCTTTCTAACCCACTATTAGTCACCATACTGTCTCCCAAGGGAGACAACTCAAATCAATGTCTTCAAAAATCAAACTCACCATGTTATTTCAAACCAATCTTCCCAACTTATTCTAACTAAGATCTTGAGTCTCAAATTAGATTTTTAAGCAAAATTTTCATTAACTCTTCATTAGTGCTTACATTCAGTATATCAACAAGTTATATCAATTCATTATTATTACTTCGGTGTGGCAGAGGCTTTAAAAATATTTATTTTCAAAAAAAGAAGTACAAGGTAACTTCATATAGATTTCACTTCTAGTCAAGTAAATCTGAAGTGTACTGTGCATCCAGTTTACCTTATATACTAGAATATTAAAGACTCAAAGTAAAATCCTAGGATGGAAAAAAAAATCTGTTTATTATTATTTAACCTAAAGTTTTCCAAATTATCCCAAGGGCCATACAGTCCTACCAAAATACATAGACTTTCTGTTTCAAGCTCTGAAAAAACCCCTGATTTTTCTCAAATGTGTGACCAAGCTACAAATAATAATTTACTTTAACTGTAGTTAAGCAAAAGCTTTAAGAAGCTCATGAGGCAGTCAAAACATGTTCTGGCATAGATCCAAATCCAGAAGATAAAAAAACCAGGACTAAAATGCTATTTCTGACTTCTGGTAAAATATGCTTATGCCACTGTAACATGCCATCCCACTTTCAGATGTCCAAACTTACTTTTATTCTGAGAGTATAGCTCCTTTCTATTGTTTATAATTTTAGAATTCTCTACCACCTACAACCATTTCCTATTAAGGAAAATGGAAAGAAAACTTTGGGTATCCTTCCTACTCAAAAGCACTTCAGTGTCTGCCTGTTTTCTAAAATCTAGATGGGCACAGTACACTACATAGAGCAAAGTACAGCAATCAATGTGCTTGTAACATAGTGTACAGGCTAATGTAAAAACAGCAACTACAAAAATGACTTTTTATCAAAATCTGCTGCAGAAAATTTAAGTCAAACAAAGCATATGGATTTTGGAAAAATCACATGATACAAATGATAGATAAACACAAGGCAAGAATAGTTCTCAAACATATCACCTGCTCAAAGAATTAAATCACAGTTGTATATATGAACATACAAAATTACTTGAGTATTACTTTGACATATTTTAAAGAACTGAATATATATAACAAAAATTTGACACTAACTCATATGTTTTAGAAGCAGGTTTCAAATATGAAGAATTTTCAAGGTATTTCATGTACTAGATGGCTACACTTGAGACAAATAAAAACACTGAGGTATAGCACTATTTCAAATATTAAATAAAAAAGAAAAGAATTATGAGTTAGGGGATGCAGTGAGGAGAAATATACAGGCTAGGAGTAGGCAGGATGATCCAATGGCCACTGAAACACAGTCCTGAGATTAAGAGGTGCAACCCAGAAAAACAAAAGACAGCCAGTGATTTTTATCCCTCAGCTAGAAAACTTCCCAGGTTCCTTTAACTCATCAGACCCTTATCCCTCATATTATGATATTTGTTTTGGGAAACAAAAGTTCTCACAATTGATACAAACTGTTTTCTCAAGTCTGATTTAACTACTGTTAGGCTATGGTTACATTCAACTAAAATGGGCATATGTACCCAGATGTAAGGGCAAGTTACCCATGTCCCATTACAGGACTTTTAAAAATCCTGAACAAATACACAGTATTGAAGTGAATCACTTCAATCATCTTTCATTTATTAAGAACTTGCTCTGTTTAAGAAATTAAGCTAAATGCTGGGTAAGTTTAGGAAAAAACAATAATGGAAATCAAACCAAAATCTGGCTCCCAATGTATTTTTAATTTTAAAAACGGGCCTAGGTTGTTAATATTAACCATCAAGTGTCTTCCTGGTACTTAATCAACAGCATAGTTATAAAATTATCAGCTTTTATAGTGCGTGAACTATTCAAGTTAACTCTGCTGACATTTTAACAACTATTTCACCACTGTAATAAATAAGAGAAAATCATTTTTTGGAGGTTGAATGAGATGAAAGTTAATCTTCAAAGTCTTTTAATAACAGCTATTACAATAACTGAAGACATTGGTATCGACTAGAGGTACTTACACAAATAAATGTAAAAAAACTGGTCTATATTTCACATGCTGTCACTATTTAAAAAAACCCATACATGTCACTAACAGATAAGTAATAGAAACATCTGAATGCTCTCCAACTTTATAGTCTACTGTTACAACTTAAATGTTAGTTTGAAAATTGGCATATGATTTATATATTTCCATAAAAACTATGAAACTAAAATAAACATCCCTCCGAAAATAAGAAATGGAAAGAACTACTTTGGCTATATAAATCCTCAATACTCAATCCATACAGGCAAATTTGAAATCACTTAAGGAAGTCTGGCTTTTAAAAATAAGTTTATTTTAAAAGGGAAGAAAATTCATACCTTTAAACTGATGAAATGTGTAAATTTCCATCCATATACAACTGTGGGCACTACCAGTCTGAACCAGACTTTACGCAGACATGAAAATCTAACCAGTGGTAAAAAACTTATTATGGACTCCACTAAATTATTAAACTTACCTTTGTACAGAAAGTTCTGATCTTCCACACTGAGCAAAATGTGGTTAAATAAAATGATACCTAGATTTTGTTTTGTTTCCTCCCTAGGCAGAAGGTTAAAATCTGATCTAGCATAAAAAGTTGTGATTTTTACTTGTGCAGCCCTTTTTGATTAAGTAGAAACAACAACAAAAAACACAAAAAACAAGGCATTTACCATTATAACAGCATAAAAACTGAGGCCAGACAGTGTTACCTATTCAGGCCTTTTAACAACTTTGTTAACACTATTGGTTATATTATTCCACCTTTCTCTTAGTGTGAACTGATAACAATTATTTAGCTAATTTTATGTTATTAAAATACCTGCTGATTAGACAAGAACCAAAGTGTCTCTTAAAAGAAATATAAAATAAATAGCATCATTGAATTGCAATATTTCAAAATATCTAAAAATATAAAGTATTCTTGGGAAATGAGAAGAATCATTTCAAAATTTGTAATGAAAGTTGTTACAGCATTAAAGCATTACATAGAATTTATTTTAAGATGGAAGTTTAAAGATGCATATTTGATCTTGCACTTCAGAATTATTTTTAAGTCTAATAAAATATTTGCTTTTTAACAGAAAACAGACTTCATCAACAAATGAAGGTGATTATATTTTAAAAACAAAAAACTAAATAGATGAGTATGCTGAATAAAGAGAAAAAATTAATTTTATGATATTCAGTATAATGCTCAACAAACTGTCATAAAATAAAAAAAATTTGATGAAGCCAGTACCTTTGTTTCCCTAATAAAAACTGGCCCTTAAAAACAAAATCTGAACACAAAATAAGTGAATTAAAACATATATAAATAACCACCACTGTACTGTTTATCTCTTACCCAGCAAGGTAAGAAACAACCTTTTAATACTTTAATTTTGTGAGTATTAAACAACTAGTGTGAAAAACAAGCTGCATGTAAACTATTTCTACTGCCTCAGCTTCAATGACTAGCTGAGGCAACCTGTTATAGAAGGTGTTAATTGGCAATAGGAGTACAAGTCAGAAGCATGTTCCCCATCGTCCTAACCCAGCAAGGCTAGGTCATTAAAGTGGAAATGAATTCTTTCATGTCGACTTAACCCTTTCAGTGCATGATTTCAGCTGTTTTCTCTCAATTAATTTTTTAAAACACTTGTTACTTTTTAGAGTTAAAAAAGTGTTCCATAAATAAATAAATAAATAAATAAATAAAATAAAGCAAGCAAGCTGTTTGGCTGACAGTTCCAATGACCATATTATTCAGAAGAGAAGAACACACCAAGTTAATTGCAATGTAATGCTGCAACTCTCTCCTCTGAAGAACATAAACTAACTGTATTTATTTACTTTAACATTGAAAAGAAAATCAAGAATACAGCATTTAGAAATAGCTCAGAACCACTTAGTCATACAGAATTTCGATTTATATTTAGGTTTGAGGATTCAATAAGTTTACTATTAATCACCTTAATGTTCAGACAGAAGAGTAACAGTAATATTTTATACCCATTATGTCCATCCAAGTATCCCCAATATAGAAATATTTTGAAACGTATGAGTTAATACACCTTTCTAATTATGTTTCATTATTCTGATAAGGTGCACAGTCACAGCATATCCTGATGAATGGTTGCCAAAAAAGCCAAAATTCCTTTTATGGCAGGATCTCAGGTTTCCAGATGGCACATTAATTCTTAAAAAAAGAAAAAAAAAAAAAAAGAAAAAAAGAAGAAAAGAAAATAAGAATGGAAATGTCAAAATAATGATGCATTACTTTTCAAATGCCACATTTATAAATACTAATATTCCCATATATTTTAATCATTTATATGAATTTTAAATAAAACTCAATTATATAAGCAGTATTCTAAATATTACAATTAAAAATGAACATACATATGCTGCAAATCTGAGAAATCTTGAAAGCACCGACTTTAATAAAAATTCATAATATCAGGGTGAGAATGTTTAAAAACCCATTTACCTAACACTATGTACTTACGATGATATTAGAGACATAATCTTAACCATTGTTGAAAAACAGCTGGGCTCCTGAATAACTATAGCCAACAATATGCTTATTCATTAGATATTTGATCAGTAAGGGCCAAGATAATAAGAAAAAATACAGTGGTTCAAGGGTATTTTAAAAAGGGAGAATTTTATGATTTTCTTGAACTTTCTCTTTTCTCTTTTTTTTTTTGTGGTACTAGTGATCGAACTCAGGACCTTGCGCTTGTGAAGAAGGCGCGGTGCCCACTGAGCTAAATCCCCAGCCCCCCACACTACACTCTATTATTCCTTTTCTACTTTATCCACATCCTCCTATGTCCTCCAATTGATTGACAAACGCAGTTCCTGCCTCTCTGAAAACGTTTGTTCCCTGAGTTCCTCCAATAGAGCAAATCTAAGTGGCTGCCCCAGAGCCAATATTTTGAGAATTTAAAATTTTCAGTGGGGAACAGGCAGTGGGGTGAAGTAATGTAACAGCAGGGAAAGGGGGAAAATGACACCATTACCTGGTTATAAAGAGACCTGATCAAAATAATGTAAGGGCTAGTAGCCTAGTGTACAATGCCCAATGGTGACATTTCTTTCCCTTTAAGACCACCCTTGATAGTCACTTTGAAACAATTTTCACCTACTTAAAAATGTGTGTTCACGTGTGTGTGAAATAGGGTGGAGAGCGTGAAGGATGCACAGGGAATGGGGAAAAAATAAGAACCAGGATACATCATGTACAGGTACAAGCACCTAATGATAAATGTAAACGTATTGTATACCTAAAGTGTAGCAATAAAAGAATTCAAGCAAAAAAAAAAAAAAAGCCATGAGCACCAATCACTTTGGATATCTATGTAATCTGTCTCACCACAACGTGGACTGACTGTCCTTCATTCTGGATGACTATCAATCTCCTCCTTTACAGCAAAAAAGGGGCAAGGACAGTGTTTGGTAAGTTTTGCTTTAAAGAAGCATTATTTGTAGAGGATCAGTTCACACTTCAGAAACCAGAAGATAATGTCAAACATTTGGGAGTGGCAAAACACGCTACTGTAATATAACTAGAAGTAGGGACCCAGAATCAAGCAGAAACTTGAAGGTCCTAGAGAAGAACATTAAGGAGTCAGAACTGTTCCACAACAGACACTGGTTCTTATCATCACCAGTAGTTCCAGCCCTTTCTACAATATTGTTCCAGTATAGCACCATGAATTTATTTAAGGTCTAAAACACATAAAATATAATTAGCCACAAATGAGTCCATAATTCACACATCTGTAATTCGTAATTCATAATTCATTAATTAATTCATCTTCCAAATTATTCTATGAAAATCCATGTATGGAATGTTACACACATACATACAAACACACATAAAATACATATTTTTACTTATTCATTCTACAATCACAGACTTAAGAGCCTACATGGCATGAACTGGCTTTGTAGCAGAAGGCAGTTAAAAAGCTTACAAAGTAGAAGGCAGGCGAAAAACAGTAAAGCCATAATTACAACACAGTAGATCAAGTAGAAAAATGGAAGCATGTACAGGAAGTATAGAAGTTATAGCAATCTATTTGATATAATCTTCCCTTATGCTAAGAACTGAAGAATATGTAGGCCTTTTCCAAGCAAAAATAAAGGAGGGCAGGACGGCATAAGGCACTCCAAGCAAAAAAAAGGCATATTGAAAGGCAAAGAGACACAAAAGATTATCCTATACATTATCATTCAAGTATTTCCAAACAATAAAATGGGCTGACTAAAGTATGAATACTAAGAAGTCAAATATGAGTTAATATTGCTTCAATTTCAATGGGTGCTCTTTTTTAAAGTCATGACTTTTTTTTAAAGCCATCTTTATTTTATTTATTTATTTTTCTTAAATTCTTTTATTGGTACACTTTAGGTATACATTTACACTTATCACTGGGTGCTTGTACCTGTACATGATGTATCTTGGTTCTTATTTTTTCCCCATTACCTGTGCGCCCTTCACCCCTCCACCCTCCCCTATTTACAAAGGCTTTGTTTCCATTTTTTTTTTCTTTTCTCATTTTTCCTTTCCATTCTTTCCTTTCCCCATCTCCTCCCACCACCCCTACCCCTTTGGACCTTTTCCTATTTCAAAGTATCAATTATTAGTTATTAATCCTTTCAGTCTTTATTTACACTGTTTCTCTCACTAAAGAAACTATTCGGTATTTACACATGCGTGTCTTATTTATTTCACTTAAGAGTATGGCCTCAATATGGATCCATTTAGCTATAAATGACTCTAGTTTCTCGTTCTTTATGGCTGAGTAGTACTCCATTTTATAAAAAAAACCACATCTTCTTTATCCAGTTTCCATTTAATGGGCACTCGGGCTGTTTCCAAGCTTTAGCTATGGAAACTGTGCCACAATAAACGTGGGTACACATATATCTCTGTGGTGTGATTCTTTTAATTCTTTTGGGAAAATACCCAGCAGGGGAATTGCTGGGTCAAATGGGAACTCCAGCCCTAGTTCTTTGAGGTATCCACACTGATTTCCATAGAGGTTGCACCAGTCTGCACTCCCACCAACAATGGAGAAGGGTTCCTTTCTCTCCACACCCCCACCAACATTTGTTATTGGTTGATTTCTTGATAGCAGCCACTCTTTCTGGGGTGAGGTGGAATCTCAGTGTTGTTTTCATCTGCATCTCTTGAATGACCAGTGATGTTGAACATTTTTTCATATGTTTATTTGCTGCTTTTACTTCTTTGTCTGAGAAATGTCTGTTCATTTCGGATGCCCATTTTTGAACTGGGTCTTTGAATCTGGGAGGTCTGATTTTTTTAGTTCTTTATATATTCTAGATAGTAGCCCTTTGCCTGAGGTACAGCTGCTAAAAATTTTTCCCCACATTGTACGTTGTCTGTTAGCTCTATTGGTCGTTTCTCTTGCAGTGCAGAAGCTTTTTAATAAGATGAAATCCCAGTTGTTGATTCTTTGTGCTAGTTCCCGTGCTACTGAGGTTTTGTTCATAAAGTCTTTTCCTATGGCAGTATCTTCAACAGTTCTACCTAACTTATCTTCCAGCAAGTTTAGCGTTTCTGTCTTAATATTTAGATCTTTAATCCACTTCAATCTTAGTTTAGTGCATGGTGATAGATATGTCTAGTTTTAATCTCTGACAGGTTGAAATCCAGTTTTTCCAACACCATTTATTAAATAGGCTATCTTTCCTCCAATGAGGGTGGTTGGCTCCTTTGTCAAAGATGAGGTGGCTGAGTATGTCTGAAGTTGTTTCTGCATCTTCTAATCTATTCTACTGATCCTTGGGTCTGTTTCTTTGCCAGTACCGTGCTGTTTTTATCACAGTAGTTAAAGCCATCTTTAATAGTAGAACTTTTTAAGATGGTAAGTGGACCTTAGCTATACTTCTGGATTTATAAAAAATATCTACCACTTAATATCAGTTTAAAGTTCTCCGACACACCTAAAAGAAACACACAGATATAAGACAAAATCTGAAGGGTAAGATTATGTGTTTTCCATGTAAAATGTTAATGTGTTATATAACAAGTGGGATTTCATTATTGGGTTATAAAGTGCTTCTCCAGTTTATAGAATTTATACAAACATTACATATGCCTCATATATAAATCCAGGGTATTCTCTTTAACACATGATTCTAAGAGCAAAACATTCTTTCAACAAATAATATTACAAAAAGCTGATTATAGTCATCCAAGCAATGGGCACCACTGGAGAAGATACAGAATTCATGGCTGGAATTAGTTGGATCACTGATCAAAGGAGCTGAAAGTTAAGTGGATGCTACCATGATCAGCTGTTAGAGACACTAAGCTATCATGAAAGCCAAGCCCTGGAAGTGCTACAAGGAATACTAGTAACCTTGTCTGTTTATGTGCATCCTGTACTACATTTGTACTTTTATTTCTGGAATGTTACTTATCTCTTTCAATTAAAGAAGAGAAATACAAAGAAACAACGTATTTTAAAAAGAGAAACCATTCAGATGAGAGGGAATCCAAAAATAGGTAAATATGCGCATGGGGGAAAAAAAAAAAAAAGATCTGGGACCTGTGCATAGATACTATGACATGTATTAGGCTTATAAATAAATTAGATGTGGTGCTAGTCCTTAAAATGTATTGTGGATGGTTCCGCTGCCTGCCTTGCAAGCGCAAGGTCCTGAGTTAGATCCCCAGTACCAGAAAAAAAAAATGTATTGTGGGAGACAGAAAATACATGAGTAAATATAAAAATGAGTGTCTAACATAGGTTTGTGCCCAAATAATAGGAAAGAGAATACGTCTTGATGCTTTAATTAAAAACAAGGTCTAATTTTCAAAGAGCTTCTCTACCAAACAATAAAGATGTAAGCCTGTGGTTCTTAATGCTGTTTATACCTCAGAATTCATGAATTTAAAAATTCAGATACCTGGCCTCACCCTCAGATATTCTGATTCAACTGTCCCAGGTGAGGCTCTTGCATCTTTTTTTCCCTCTTTTTTTAACTTCCCAAATTATTCTAAGATACAGCCAGGATTGAGGATCCCAATACAAACCTATAAAGCAAACGATTTCATTATTGTGAGATTAATGATATGACATGAGGTGAGTTTGTTCACATAGCTAGCTTGAAATTTCAGAGGTCTAGAGTTAAATGCTAAATGCATCAAATTTCTATATT